CTAGAGGTCAGGATCTGCAGGAACAACTCAGTCCCATGTGGAAATTGCCCATCAAAATCAAGAGTGTGACTTGAATATTATTATTTAATTCAGGTAAATTACAAAAACATTTTAAAAAATAAGTACAATTATTTTACGTACTTCTACCACAGAAAAAGTATATCAATTTTGTTTGTTAGTATTTGTTTTTTTAGTATCATTTACATGGCCCACTCTTTACATCGCAAAACAATGCTATCCATACCTTTCACCAGTTGGTGGCGGTGCCGCTTAATGTTCCGTTTGCTAAACGAGCTAAAGAATAAGACTGAGCGGAAGTTGAAGTCTGTCGTTAAATCTATAGTGTAAATAATTGGCGACCATGCCCCTCATAGTGATGTGCGGTTTTCCCAGCAGCGGGAAAACTCGCCGGGCAGAAGAACTCAAGGTTTACTTTGAACAGACTTCAAAACTAAAAGTTCACATTGTGGGAGAAACGAGTTTAGCGGTGGACAAAAACAGTGTATATGCAGGTAAGCTAAGCTAAGCTAACTGTGGCTGTAGCTCAACCATGTTCAAGAGACATTGGACGCTTATTAATGTTATTTTTTTTATTTCGGTAACCTAAATATATATTATGTCTGTGTTAAAACGTTACAGATTCCCAAAAAGAAAAGAACGTGAGGTCGTGTTTAAAAGCTGAAGTGGAGAGGTGAGTGTCACTCGTGAACTTTCTGTCATATTAATGTTTAGCTGTCACTAAACCTCACGGTGTTTTTCTGTTTGTTTGTTGTTTAGAAAAGTCAACAAGGATGACGTTGTAATTCTGGACTCTTTAAATTACATTAAAGGTAATTCTTATCATAGAATAAGTTAATGATACACTGTTGTGTTGTGTTTCTGTCCTTACTGTTTTGAATTTGGAAACATTCCGCAGGTTACCGCTATGAACTTTTCTGTCTCATCAAACACACACAGACGCCACACTGTCTGGTGAGTTGAGTGGATGGATTACTGTTTACTGATCTGTCTTGACTTTAACATCTAAATATCCTCAAATGCTGCACACACTGCTGTTTCTGAAACTTTTTTGTTTGTTTTGTTGCCAGGTTTACTGTTTAACATCACACGAGCAGAGCTCCACGTGGAATTCAAGCAGAGATGCTACAGAACAGTACAACCAGGACATGTGAGTTATAATGTTGTATATATA